TTCTAACGAATGATGGCAGACTTGCCATCAGAAGCCTTTGTAAGAAATGGAGATGGCAATGAGATGGTCATGGCTCATAAACTTAAACTATTTTGAGAGTATTCAACCTTACCATTATGTTACAAAACCTACTTTAGAATAAGCAAACATGATGATCTCCTGAAAGCCTAGGACTGGGCGTGCCTGCGTTTCCAGGGTAGACCTCAGGTGCCCTGTCCTGTTCAGCACGGGCGCGCAGAAGTGTGCGCTGAAGGCTGAGCGCACAGCATGCGCCTGGCACCCCAGCCCTCTGGGCGCAGAGGCAAGAAAGCCACGAGCTCCAGCACAGCCTGGGCACCTTAGCAAATGACCAAGACCCTGTCTCAAAATAAAAACTTTTTTTTCTAAGGCTGAGATTGTAGTTGAGTGTATAGGACCAAAAATTGAAACCAAAGCACTAATTCTCTGCTTTTGTATTTACAAACACATTTCTTCTTAGAAAGTCATTGATTTCATTTATATTAATGGAGTGAAGAACTTGGCTGTATCTACAGAGCTGACACCAGCGAATTGTAAAATGCAACTGTTTTGTATTTTTACATTTTACCCACAGTTACTGCAAATTCTTTTTTTCCAATGTATTAAAAAATGAGTAACATGAACTGAGCCCTTTTTGTGAAACTGAGAGGTGCTTGTTATTGCAGAGTTGTGAAGAGACTTACGCAGCCTGCTGTAAGCCTTTCATCGTCATGTTAAAATCTGTCACAGCATCAGTTTGTGGCACCTTCCGTCACATGTCACTTAGACTGCCAGCTGTCCGATGATGGCTTTTCTTTCTCAGAGAATTACGTTGCTCAAGGAGGAAATATTTCTGACATTCAGAATTTGACTTCTGTCTTGATTGGCCCCGACCACATTTCAATATAAAATTAGCGGAAGCGTGTACACTTGTCACTACTGTCGTTTTTGTGGTATTACTGAGCACTCATTGCACGGAAACACAAAATGAACTTGAGGTGTGTTATATGAACACAACAGGAATTACATATTTGTGCATGAGATCTGTTCTGATCTCTTCGAGAAAGAAGCCATTATTGTTGCGTCAGAACGCCTCCAAGCCCATGACCATTTGTACTTATTAATACATGAAGCGTTTCTTTTCATTATGAATTTCAGTGGAAGATAAATGTGAGATCATTTATTTAATAATGTAAAAGAAGTAGTTTGGAGAAAAAGCAGGATATTTTGCATTAGCTTTACCTGTTAAATCATATGAATAGAAATGGCACTTACTTTTTAAACTATCTTGAAATTGCTTCCGGATGTAGACAAACATGATGGCTATCTTAGTTCATTGTTTTCTGCAGCATTTCCTGAAGACACCGCTTGAGCTGAAGACGCTCAGGCTATTAACTTAGCGCTAACGCACCACTTCCCAAGTCACGCTCCGAGGAACACACGCTCCTTGGCTGCACACGTCACACAGGGATGCGGGGCCAAGAAAACCGACTTGGCCTCGGAGCCCCGAGGGGGTCGGAGCACTCGGTGTCTCTAGAGGCCCTATACTGCCTCATTTCCTGAATACTCTGGGCCACAAGCCACAAACAATTTCTGTTTTCTGTTGAAAATCAGTTTTCTAGGACCACTGTTTAGAAAGTGTCTGATAGCAAAAATGAAATGCCCACCTCTACACTGGTCATCATGCAAACACTAATTATTGCAGAAATAATCAAGCAAATATTTTTGCAAAATAGGTCCTTCCAGTTGTCTATGCTTTAATGACAGCTAACAGAAATTAGCTTTTGTGCAATCTGATTTTACATGAGATATAACTAAAACATTCAATATGGCCTAACAGTTGATTTTTAAAGAGGTGAAAATGTCTAGGTCTATTCTGATTTTTCATACTCATTTGAAAATTTGGCAAATAGCAATCAATTAATGAGAAGTTTCATTTATGTTGATAGATATAAAAATATTTGAAGAATTTGAGATCACTTTTTTCTAATAATTTATTGGGGACAGATGTAAAACATATAGCCTCCACTGGTCAGCACCCAAGAACCCTGAATATCAGCAGCAGAGTAACAACAGATTTACAGGAAAACAAAGGTCAAAACTTAGAAATAGGGGCCGGGGAGATGGCTCAGAGGAATAAGCACTTCCCTGGCAAGCACAAGGATCTGAGTTCAATCCCCAGTTCCAAAAAATAAAACTTAGAAATAAACATTGATTTATGAGATTTATAGTGAATATTGTATTTCACTGGGTAGAATTAACTGATAAATTTTCAGACTCTGCAGGTTATTGATTTCATTTTCTTGTTATGGATTTTACCTTAAAAGTTGGCTTACTTTCAATTGCCATCTCAGGGTACCCTGGGAGCAGGATGGCAGGCCTGGGGATGGAACCCCCAGCCCCTGCGCCTGCTTGCGGATGCTTTAATCTGCCAGGCTATTTGGCCAGCCCTACATCTTTAAATTTTTAATGGCAAAGTATCTACTCCTTTTAAAGATTTTACAAACTTTAATATTATAATAAATGCACTGAATAATTTTAGAACAATAGTGAGCTCCACAAAAATATATTTGAACTATTTTGAACAACCTAGCCATTCATACTATACTACACTGGTATTAACAAGGACAATAGGGTCCAGCGAGATAGCTCAGCAGACCATGCACCTGCTTTGGCGAGCACAGGGACCAGAGCTCAATCCCCAGTATTGCATGCTACGTTGGCCCTGCCCCCGGAGCATGCTGAGCTGGCGACAGAGTCCAGGTGTGGTGGCACAAGCCTGTAATCCCAGAGCTGGGGAGGCTGAAAACAGGAGGATCATCATGAGTCTGACCTGCATAGTGAGACCCTATACCAAATACATAAAATAGAAAAAAACAAAGACAACAAAGCTTTATGAATTGTTTAAATTTTTACCCACATAAACATCCAGTGTTCAACTAAAAAAAATTATTGGAAACTTTCAAAGCTATTTATTTTCCAACTATATTAATAGAAAACACTGGAGATAAGCCAGCCTTTTGCAAGGTGAACGGGTTGTGTGACGCTGTTCGCCAGCGCCCTCATATCCCCAGTGCTGAACATGCGTGTCCCACAGCCCACCTCACAGGCAGCTCCACCACACCCTGCCCCACAG